AAGCTGTGATAAGGAATAGCATTCCTCGGAGAGGGAATTGTATGTGCAAAAGCATCGCGACAGGCAGGAGAGAGGTTAATAATGTGTCTGGGGTAAGTGAGGAAGATGGTGAGTGGGGAACATGTAACTGGACAGATGGCCAAAGAGCAGGCAGGGCTTGTAGGGCTAGTAACTGACACGACTGGATTTTGTCTCATGTGGGCCGGGAAGCCTTTGGAGGGTTTTGAGCAGCAAAGGGGCCTGACCTGATTTCCATCTTGCAAGCATCATCCTACTGTTGGGAAACGGATTGACGGTAAGCAAGAGTGGAAGAAGGTAGGCCAATGAGGAGGACCCAGTGAAGTGGAAGGGACAGGCTGATCTGGGCTCAGTTTGCCTTTGCATGTGGAAGAGACAGCACTGGTTAATGGATTAGATGTCAGAAGGACCAGCTACGTAATTTTGGGGGCCCTCTGCCAATGAAAAGTGCATGGTTCCTCATTCAAATATTATCTGGAATTTTAGCACAGCTGCAGCAGAGCATTAAGCAAGCACAGGGCCCTTTTATGTGTGAGACCGAAATGTGACTGCCCAGGTGCACACCCGTGAAACCAGCCCTGCACGTCAAATGTGAAAAAGAGCGAACAAGTTCAACTGCACGTGCCTGTCAGGCCTGTCCAGAAAGCAGTCTTTATTAGGGGGGATCTCAGGAAATTGCTGCTTTGATAGATCAAACATGGTCACATGTCAGCTGTTTCCTGTTGGTCATTCTGATCCAAGTCAGGTATTTAGGGGCTCCATGGAGTGAATGTGTCCCCCGAATTAATATACTCAAGCCCCAATTGCCAACGTGGTGGTATTTGGAGGTGGATGGACCCTTTGGGAGGTATCATAATGAGAGTTAATTAGGTCATGAGGGTGGGGCACTCATGGTGGGTGTATTAGTCCATTTTCATGCTGCTGATAAAGACATACCTGAGACTGGGCAATTTACAAAAGAAAGAGGTTTATTGGACTTATAGTTCCACGTGGTGAGAAGGCCTCACAATCATGGCGGAAAGTGAAGGGCATGTCTCACATGGCAGCAGACAAGAGAAAAGAGCTTGTGCAGGGAAACTCCCCTTTTTAAAAGCATCAGATCTCATGAGGCTTATTCATGGTCACAGGAACAGCACGGGAAAGACCTGCCCCCATGATTCAATTACCTCCCACTGGGTTCCTCTCACAATACCTGGGAATGCAAGATGAGATTTGGGTGGGGACACAGCCAAACCACATCAGTAGCCTTATAAGAAGAGGAGAAACATGCCCCCTCCACGACCATGCATAGGCACACACCAGGCGAAGACCATGTGAAGACAGAAGAAGGCAGCAGTCTTCCAACCAGGAAGAAGGCCTTCTCCAGGAACTGGACGGTGCTGTCGCCCTGGTCTTAGATTCCAGCCTCTAGAGCATGAGAAATACATTGTTTAAACCACCCGGTCTGTGGTATTTTGCAATGGCAGCCAGAGTGGACTAGGGGTAGGGGAAATAAATGGCAGGACTGAAGACAGATTAGGGTTCTCAGAGGTCACATAGGGAAGAGGCACCGTGGAGAAGTGGACAGACCCTGGAGTCCTCCAGCCAAGGTGGAGTTGGAGGAGGAGGGCAGTAGGGCAGGAGAGCAGGGAAGAGCTGGAAGCCAGGGCCAGAGGGTTTCAAGAAAGAGGACATGGCCAGCCATGTCCAACATGGCCGAGGTCAGAGAGATGAATGGCCACTGAATTTGGGAACAGGAGGTCTTTGGTGTCCTGGACAAGAGCAGTGTCAGTGGCGTGTTGGGGACAAAAGTTTGAGTGGAGTGGACTGACGGGGAAATGGAAAGAAGATGGGGAGGTGGAGATGATCACATACAATTCTTTGGGTAAGTTCTGGTGGGGCAGTAGCCAGGGAGAAATGGGATGAGCCAAGGGCATTTCTTACTGATTTATAAAATATCTAAGATTTACATAAAGATATAAGAAAGAATAAAGGCCACTCATATGCCCATCCCCCAGCTAAAGCAATAAAACAATTTCAATAGGACTGTAAACCTCAGTGTATCCTTCAAGGGACAATCCCCAACCTTCTCCCGAGGGTAACTATTAACCCAGGTCGTTTTTATTCGCTTGCATTTCTTTATTGTTTTATTACATAGGGACAAATTTATTAGCAATATACTGTTTTGCATGTTACTAGACTTCCCATAATGCTATCATATTGCATATATTCTTCTACAGGTTATAAAGATCACATTGATTCATGTAGCTTTGTTCATTCATTTTCACGACGACAGAGTATTTTACTGAGGCTGTATACTAGAGTTTCTCTATTCTCCTACCGGTGGTTGTCAAGTTTGCTGTCTATATTTTTCCACTACAAACATTGCTGCTAAGCACCCTGGGACTGGTTTCCTCAGGACTGTAACCAGTATGTTGGGTAAACAGATTTTTTTTTTTTTTTTGGAGATGAGTCTTGATTTATCGGTCAGGCTGGAGCGCTCAGGCTGGAGTGTAGTGGCGCAATCTTGGCTCACTACAGCTGGCCAGGCACGGTGGCTCACACCTGTAATTCCAGCATTTTGAAAGTCCGAGGCAGGCAGATCACCTAAGGTCAGGAGTTTGAGACCAGCCTGACAACATGGAGAAACCCCATCTCTACTGAAAATACAAAAAATTAGCAGGGCGTGGTGGTGCATGCTTGTTATCCCAGCTACTCAGGAGGCTGAGGCAGGAGAATCACTTGAACCTGGGAGGCAGAGGTTGCAGTAAGTCAAGATCACACCATTGCACTCCAGCCTGGGCAACAAGAGCAAAACTATGTCTCAAAAAAGAAAAAGAATTTATATCTCCCCCAACAACCCCCTGCTCAGGCAGATGCACTGCCTGAGCCTAGTGCACTGCCACAGCCACTCCGTGGCTAAAAGTTCTTGGTTCACCTTTGATTAAAATAAAGTTACTTGGCCAGATGCAGTGGCTCATGCCTGTAACCCTAGTACTTTGGGAGGCTGAGGCAGGTGGATCACCTGAAAGCAGGAGTTGGAGACTAGCTAGGCCAACATGGCGAAAACTCATCTCTACTAAAAATACAAAAATTAGCCGGGCATGTGGGCATGTGCCTATAATCCCAGCTACTCTGAGGCTGAGGCAGGAGAATCACTTGAACCTGGGAAGCGGAGGTTGCAGGGAGCCGAAATTGTGCCACTGCACTCCAGCCTGGGTGACAGCGATACTCTGTCTCAAAAAATAAAAATAAATAAAAATAAAGTTTTCTTCAGTAATTAACGTGTCGAGCCCATGTAATAGTCAAAACTCTATTGACTAATACACAACGAGGTTAATACATCATTGCTTATTAACTGCTCCCCTCCTCAGCCCTGGCCTTTGCCCTCTCCGCAGGCTGCCTCTGGCCCCCAAGCTGGTAGAGGAAGGGGGTGGGGCGAGCTTTTGTTGTCGCTGGCATCTGGCTGCACTCAGCTGCAAAAGTGACTCTTCTCTGGGGGGGCATATTGACCTCTTCAGAGGGTCACTCGAGGGTCTCACTGGGGGGGTCTCTCATCTGTGGTCCCTCACTTAGGGACCGCCCTTATTCTTGGCCCCTTGGGGCCTCTTGGGAGGCTGAAGGAGGCCCTTCCAGGCACTGCTGCGGACCCCTGGGCTCACAGGTGTGTCCCCAGCAACACCTGGAAGGGCCTGCCTCAGCCTCCCAAAGTGCTGGGATTATAGGCATGAGCCACCGCACCCGGCCAAGAAATCTTTATATATCTGGATTCTAGACTCTTATCCAACATATGATTTGCAAACATTTATTCCCATTGTGTTAATCTTTTCAGTTTCCTGAGTAGTGTCGTTTGATGCGGAAAAGTTTTTAATTTTGATGAAGTCCAATTTACTTTGTTGTTGCTTGTCCTTTTGGTGTCACCTCTAAGAATCCATTGCCAAATCCAAGGTCATGAATATTTACTTGTTTTCTTCTAAGAGTTTTATCTTTTCAGCTCCGACATAAATAATATTGTAATGCAATATTTCAAAAATCAAAACGAATACAAAAAGTCCATGATGAACAAAATATCAACATGTTAAATAAAGGCCAAATCTGGCTCTGCACTTGGTCTACGTCCTGGATTCCTGCAGCCTGGGGCGGGGGCAGATTAAACTAGGTGAGTCCATTGGCTTGGGGCTGTGTGTGGTTGGTGGCAGAGTTCGGACCCGGCTGGTCCAGAGGGAGAAGCCACTACTGCAGGAGACAGAGCGATTTTTCCGCTGCAAATTCTTGAGAAGGGAGGATGGGAGGTGGCGGGACCACCCAGTGAAGCCGGCCCCTAACGCCCAGCGTGTGTGTGCTGTGCGCGCGTGGGTGGCTGCAGACCGCGACGAGATAAACTTGAAAGTGAAGGCCGGGCGCGGTGGCTCAAGCCTGTAATCCCAGCACTGTGGGAGGCCGAGGCGGGTGGATCACGAGGTCAAGAGATCGAGACCATCCTGGTCAACATGGTGAAACCCCGTCTCTACTAAAAATACAAAAAATTAGCTGGGCATGGTGGCGCGTGTCTGTAGTCCCAGCTACTCAGGAGGCTGAGGCAGGAGAATTGCCTGAACCCAGGAGGCGGAGGTTGCGGTGAGCCGAGATCGCGCCATTGCACTCCAGCCTGGGTAACAAGAGCGAAACTCCATCTCAAAAAAAAAAAAAAAAAGAAAGAAAGTGATCGCTGTCCCAGGGCTGCCTGCTCCCAAGGGACCCTGACAGAGGCCGCCGCCCCAGCAGGGTCCCCAGCAAGGAGAAGCCCCTGGCAAGGGGAGAGGGTCAGACCGCGGTGCGCGCATCCCCCGGCCCGCGCCTCCTCCCTCTCGCCCAACGCTCCGGTCCGATGGGGGCAAGCGCGTGCACAGGGGGCCCTAACGCGTCCCTCCAGCCTGGATTCCGGCAGCCCCGCGGCAGGGGAGCCGGCGCAGCCGCCGCGGCGCGGAGTAGGCCGGCTGGGCTTCCGGGGCGGGCCCGGGTCCTGGGCCGGGGCGGGTGTGTCCGAAACCCACCAGTGAGGGAGCGGGAGAGCGCGGCCGCCCGGCCCCCACCCCGGAAGGCCCAGGCGTCCGGAGCTACCCGCAGGCTCCCAGCCGGGCACCATGGCTGCGCTCGCGCCTCTGCGTGACTGCCAGGTACACCGAGGCTGCTCCCGGCCAGGTCCCGCTCGGACCCCGGGACCAGGGCGTGGCCCGGTCCTGGGCGGGGAGAAATCCCGGCAGCGGCGAGGGAGAATGGCAGGAGACATGGCCTGGGCACGGGGCACGGGGCACGGGGCGCGGGGCGCGGGGCGCGAGGTGATCCCTGGGCGCACGGGCGCGTCCGCAGCAACGCCTGGAAGCGACCCGAGGACCTTATTGTGGGGTCCCCACCAAAGGAAATAAGGGGCGCCCGTCAGGGTACTCAGGAGACCCCAAGAGCTCCTAAACAGCGTAGCTCACTGGGCATGGCGTGGGACGCAGGGAAGCCCGCGAAGGTGAGGGGCTCCTTGCAATCCGCCCAGCACGGGAAGCCTGAGCCCATTTTGCTGATGAGGAAGATGGAGATCAGAGGGGCTAGGCGACTTGTGTGTGGAATTTTGAAGGGCTCCTGGTAAGAAGGCCTTGCTCTTCCCTTCTTGCCGTCTGCAGGCCTGGAAGGACGCGAGGCTCCCGCTCTCCACCACAAGCAACGAAGCCTGCAAGCTGTTCGATGCCACGCTGACCCAGGTATGCCTGCCGAGAGAGGCCGCGGCCCTTTCTGTGGAGGTCCAGGGGAAGGTTTTTAAAATGGGGAATACTTTTTAAATTGCACCGTGACCTTAGAAATAGACGGCAGTACCTGTATGCACCCTGTACCTGAGGGCGTGGGAGCGTGGGGACGTATCTCTGATCTCTGCCGCCCACAGCGTCCTGAGAGGGCCTCTGCACTCGCCCTCTTCCCCGGGACTGAGTGGGGGGAGAACAGCAGTGGGCGCCGTGGGGGGCGTTTTGTGAGGGTGCTGGCCTCCCCTGCCTCCCGCTGTGGCCTGCTGAGGGTCTGCGGCAGGGCTCTGCCACCAGGACGTGGATCCTATCCTGGGATGAATCTGTGAGTATACTGCTCGTACGGAGGTGTGCCAAGACCTTCCGCCGCATGACCAGTCATTTCTCCGTCAGTGAAGGGGCCCATGGTTTTAGAACCAGGAGAGGACCCAGAAGTAACATCCAACTAGTTTGTTTGGCAGGTGGGGAAACTGAGGCCCGGAGAGTTGAACCTATTCACTTTGTTGTACCAGAGCAAGCATAGAAAATCAACACCAAGACAAAAGTATGCCAAATTGCAGGGTCTTTATTGCTGTCGGCCACGGAGAACTCACGTCTCTCCAACCCGTGGCCCCGAAAGGAGGGTGTCAAGACCTTTTATGCCTGTAAACCACCTCCTGGGCAGGGGTGAGGGTGAGGGGCTTCGGACATTCCGAGGGCCAGGGGACTTTGGACATTCCGATTGTTACGTAAGTGGTTCACTTACGTAACAAGTAAGTCAAGGTAAGCGTTAGTTTACACATTTTGGCTCACTGCAACCTCTGCTGCCCGGGTTCAAGCAATGCTCCCGCCTCAGCCTCCTGAGTAGCTGGGACTACAGGCGTATGCCACCACGCCCAGCTAATTTTTGTATTTTTAGTAGAGACAGGGTTTCATCATGTTGGCCAGGATGGTCTCGATCTCTTGACCTCGTGATCCGCCTGCCTCAGCCTCCTGAAGTGCTGCGATTACAGGTCTAGGACTTTTAAAAAGAGGCATTTGAATAAAGGACTAGGAATAAATACACTAAATTGTTAAAAATGATGAGGCGCTGGGCACGGTAGCTCATGCCTGTAATCCCAGCACTTTGGGACGCTGAGGCAGGTGGATCACCTGAGGTCAGGAGTTCAAGACCAGCCTAGTCAACCTGGCATAACCCCGTCTCTACTAAATATAAAAAAATTAGCCGGGCCTGGTGGCGCCCACCTGTAATCCCAGCTACTCAGGAGACTGAGGCAGGAGAATTGCTTGAACCCTCGAGGCAGACGTTGCAGTGAGCCTAGATCATGCCATTGCACTCCAGCCTGGGAGACAGAGTGAGACTGTCTCAATTTAAAAAAAAAAAAGATGATATAAAATGAGATTTGGGTAAGTTTTATCTTTCAGCTTTTGTGTCTTTCTAACGCTCTAAAATGAATGTTTACTGTGACTATTTTTAAATGAATGAATAGGAAGCAGAAGTGTTCCTATTCTGACCAACTTTAAGGCTCCTCTTATGGTGGAAGAAGCCGATGTATAGCAGGTCACCTGTCAGGCGGAACCTGCCTTTTTTTTTTCTCCTTTTCTCTGTCTCGTAGGCTGGAGTGCATTGGCGCGATCTCGGCTCACTGCAACCTTTGCCTCCTGGGTGCAGGCGATTCTCCTGCCTCGGCTGCCCGAGTAGCTAGGCCTACAGACACACACCACCACACCTGGCCAATTTTTGTATTGTTTGTAGACAGCGTTTCACCATGTTGGCCAGGCAGGTCTCAAACTACTGCCTTCAAGTCATTTACCCACCTCAGCCTCCCAAAGTGCGGGGATTACAGGCATGAGCCATCGCGCTCAGTCAGAACCTGCCTTTTGATGTTCTTTTTTGGAAATGCAGCATCCCTAGCCCTAGAAAGTGTGCCTTGGGCGATGTGTATTTCATTTCCTCATATGAAGAAAGTTATCAGCCAAGTTATGCCTTCTTTGGGTTAAAGTCCAGAAACAATGTTCTACAAATAAAAACAAATCTGGATTTATTTTTATTTTTTGTTTTTTGAGAGGGAGTCTCTGTCATCCAGGCTGGAGTGCAATGGCGTGATCTTGGCTCACTGCAACCTCAGCCCCTGAGTTCAAGTGATTCTCATGCCTCTGCCTACCAAATAGCTGGGAATACAGGCATGCACCACCACGCCCCACTCATTTTTGTATGTTTAGTAGAGATGGGATTTCACCATGTTGGTCAGGCTGGTCTTGAACTCCTGACCTCAGATGACCTGCCTGCCTCAGCCTCCTGAAGTGTAAACCTGGATTTGGAGTCACACCTTTGTTAGTATGATCCAAGGGCTCTGTGAGGACTTGTTTTGCTTTTCCCATTTCAGTATGTAAAATGGACCAATGACAAGAGTCTCGGTGGCATTGAGGGCTGCCTGTCAAAGCTCAAAGCAGCAGATCCCACCTTCGGTGAGTGACGGCCTCCCTGGGTGCAGGTGCCCCGCTTCATAGATCCAGCCCCTCTCTCTCTTCCTGACCACAGGGACACAGTTGGGATGGGGAAGGCAGGTTGGGTGGTGGCAACTGGGGTGACATTTGCACAGTGGGAGGGAAGATGACAGCTGCCATTGTATTTGGAAAAACAGCCACTCCCATAAAGATGCCAGGTTCTAATAGAAGGTGTTTTCAAGTCTTTTCTCTAATTGCCATCAGTTCTGGAATGAAGATGCTGACCGCATTCTCAGATGAGGAAACAGGGTTGGCAAGAGTAAGACTGGACCTGAAGCCACCCAGCTGGTGGTTGACAGCTGAGATTAGATAAGGCTTCCTGAATCCAAGGCCCAGAGCCCTGGAACATGAGAGATGGCTGCTGCAGCCTCCCTCAAGGGACCAGTGAGACCTCATCCAGAGTGGCCGGGGTGAGGTGGGGACCGATGGCTGACAGAGGCCGGCATGTGTGTACAGTGGGCGTGGGGATGCCAGCACAGTGCATTGCAGGTGTGTGGTCCCAGGGTGTGGCAAGGTTCCGGGCCAGGGAGAGGGCTGATGAGGAGACAGGGCTCTTGGCAGGACAGCAGGGACCCCAGTCTCACCCTGCTGCATCCTGGTCAGACTTAAGGCAGGGGGCTTGTACTGCCCTGGAGAGGACAAACAAGGAAATAATTGGCTACCCCGTTATTTCCAAACCCAGTCGTGGGGAGCCGGGAGCCAGGGGCGGGCTCGGACTCTCTGAGCAGACCTCCAGCCCTTATCAGGGGCTTTGACCACTTGAACCACCAGCTCGGCTGGGCTGGGGCTGACTATTGGAATCACAGCTATTTTCCAGGGGCCGAATGGGTGGTCCTAGAACTATGGTTGGGTCCTGGGTCCTAAGCCTGAGCCAGTGACCAAGTTCCAAATGCCAGTGGACACCCTGGCTCTCCAGAGTGGGGCCTGGGGGCCTGCAGTCCTGCCAGCAAGGCTGCTGCGAAGCCCACAAGGCACATCCCCCCACCCCAACTTTCAGCCCGTGTGAGCAGTGCAGACAGGATCAGGACTTCTGTGCTCCGGGGCCTCCTTGTCCATCCCCTCATGCACCTCATCCGCTGATGCCTCCCGGGAACTGTGTGCTGGCTGTGCTGACAGTGTCACCTGATGAGCCTCAGGCAGCCTCGCGCTGAGTGGCTCATGCAGCGAGGGGAAGCTGCTTTAGACACTGGCACTCAGCAGAATGCCGTCATTAGAAAAATGTTCAAGACTGCTTTTAGGCTTACTGCACACCCTTCTGCCTGACAAGCGCCGAGGCTGAGTTCCAGGCAGTTGGCAGGGCCACAGTGCGCAGCCTACTGCTGCATGGGGTGTCTGTGTAACATGTGGATCCTGGGCTGGGCTCGGCTGGGCTGGACCATCTGAATCACCAGCCATTCTCTTACCTCCCACCAGCGATGGGCCACGCCATCTCGAATGGCCTGGTGCTGATTGGCACTGGAAGCTCCGTGAAGCTGGACAGAGAGCTGGACCTGGCTGTGAAGACCATGGTGGAGACTTCAAGAGCCCAGCCGCTGACAAGGCGGGAGCAGCTGCACGTGTCTGCAGTAGAGACATTTGCCAAGGGGTGAGGGGCCTCCCTGGGCCAGGAGCTGGCACCCTGAGGCTATGCTGGGGAGTGGCAGGGTATCCCTTTCCCAATGCCCTCAGGAGGAGGGCCGGTGGGAGAATGATTCTCCCCCTGGCTCGTGAGATGCTCTGGCGGAAAATCACTTCCTGTCTGTTTTGCTAACCCTGGTGGAGTGCTGAATGAGGAAGCAGTCAGTGAAGAATCTCAACTTAGTGTTCAAAGTAACTTATTTTGTTTCATTAAGTAAATTGTATATTATTTTCATTACAAAAATAATAGGGTCACACTACAGAACTAACTAGGTTAGGGAAGAGAGAAGAAAATATGCTTCTTCTAGTGGGAAATAAGAAGTCAATCAGATTAAATCAAATATGCACCCGTATGCTCCTTGCTCTCACACTGGCTTTCACATCATCGCATTGCCCCCCCCCCCCCCCCCCCCCCCCCCCCCCCCCCCCCCCCCCCCCCCCCCCCCCCGCTGTTCCCCACGCTGGTTCCCTCATTCTCCAAGACAGCCCCTGTGTCTGCTTAGGCAGGCAAGATACGCTGCAGAGTTAGGTGACCTTAGCCGATTGCTCAGGTGCTCAGGGATTCCCAACCCTGAGACGGGAAGTGCTGCCTGGCCTTCCCGGCGAGTCCGCCCAGGTGTGGGTTCCGCCTCGGGGACTTCCTGCAGCTGTCTCACAGCCTCCAGTGGGATGATCTTTGGCAATTTGTTAAACCAGTTTTTTTTTTTTTTAATTGAACTAAAGAGTAAAATTTCCCACTGAAAACAGTTAGTTCAATTAAAAAAAACTAACATAGGCCGGGCGCAGTGGCTCACGCCTCTAATCCCAACACTTTGGGAGGCCAAGGCAGGTAGATCACAAGGTCAAGAGATCGAGACCATCCTGGTCAACATAGTGAAACCCCGTCTCTACTAAAAATACAAAACATTAGCTGGGCATGGTGGCGTGCACCTGTAGTCCTAGCTACTCGGGAGGCTGAGGCAGGAGGGTCGCTTAAACCCAGGAGGCGGAGGTTGCGGTGAGCTGAGATCGCGCCATTGCACTCCAGCCTGGGTAACGAGTGAAACTCCGTCTCAAAAAAAAAACTAACATAGAAACTAATTAAAAAAAAAAATACTCCCGCTGGTGCAGTGGCTCACACCTGTAATCCCAGCATTTTGGGAGGCTGCGGCGGGCAGATTATGCGGTCGGGAGTTTGAGACCAGCCTGGCCAATATGGTGAAACCCTGTCTCTACTAAAAGTACAAAAATTAGTTGGATGTGCTGGTACATGCCTGTAATCCCAGCTACTTGGGAGGCTGAGGCAGGAGAATCATTTGAACCTGGGAGGCAGACGTTACCGTGAGCGGAGATCATGCCATCGCACTCCAGCCTAGGTGACAGGATCAGACTCCGTCTCAAAAACAAAACAAAACAAACTACTTCCATGCAGACCATGACACTGGTGAGAAGCGATGCCTCTTCCATTCCCCAGGTGAGTGGACCGTGTTCAGTGTTGGTGAGAAATCTTTCTCGGTTTCCAGGAACTTCCCGAAAGCCTGTGAGCTATGGGAACAGATTCTCCAGGACCACCCGACCGACATGTTGGCCCTGAAATTTTCCCATGATGCTTATTTTTACCTGGGCTATCAGGAACAGATGCGAGATTCTGTTGCTCGAATTTACCCCTTCTGGACACCTGACATCCCCCTAAGCAGGTAGGTGCCAGCAGGAAATCACCTCATTTGTGTTTCTTAATCTCTCTCTTCTGCCCTAAAAATATGATGAGTCTCTTGGCCGTGTCCTAAAAGTAATGGGACCACTGCTGCTGTTCTCCTACTTCCTTAAAGTTCAAAAGTTTCATTTTCTTCATTTGATTTTCATCCCGCCTGTGAATGAGGTAGCGCCATTATGTATCAGTCAGCATGGGATTGTTTTTGCTGCAGTAAGAAACATCTCCTGGATCTTCTTCCCTAAAGCTTATTTGTTTATTAATTTTTTTTTTTTTTTTTGAGACAGAGTCTTGCACTGTCACCTAGAGTGTAGTGGCTTGATTTTAGCTCACTGCAACCTCCACCTCCCAGGTTTAAGTGATTCTTTTGCCTCAGCCTCCCAAGTAGTTGGGGCTACAGGTGCATGCCACAATGCCTGGCTAATTTTTGTATTTTCAGTAGAGATGAGGTTTCACCATATTGGCCGGGCTAGTTTCAAACTCCTGACCTCATGATTCGTCTGCCTCTGCCTCCCAAAGTGCTGGGATTACACCGTGCCCAGCCTTTCCCCAAAGCTTATTAAAGGTTTATTTTTCACTCATGCTACATGACTACCTTAGGAGGACTCAGGGCTCTGCCACCATATCCTTGTTTCCATCCGGGATCCCAGCTGGTGAAGCATCTGCCCTCTGGACACACCTGTCTCTAAGAGGGAAAAGTGAGCTTTCATGGGGGATTACAATGGCAATAAAAAGTTTAAAATGAAAGGAATACCCTGCCATTCCCAAGTCATTGGCCAGAACTGATCACATGACCTCGCCCACCTACAAGGAGACCAGGAAGTACAGTTCTAGGATGTGCCTGGGAAGAGAGGAGGCCTGGAATGCAAGTGAACACCCCCAGTGACCATCACACAGGACTGACCTCACTGCAGCTTAATTACAGGATAGATGTGAGGTTCAAACAGGTTACTAAGCTGTATTTAGTCAGCGCTCTCCAGAGAAGCACAGAGAGCTCGGAGACAGAGAGAGAGATGGAGATTTATTTTAAGGAATTGGCTCATGTGAATGTAAGGGCTGGCAAGTTGAAAATCTGTAGGGTAGGGCAGCAGAATTTCTTCTACAGACCTCAGTCTTTCTCTTAAGGCCTTTAACTGATCGACGAAGCCCACCCACATGGAGGGAAATCTGCTTCACTGAAATCACATCTAGAAACACCTTCACAGGACTGGGCACAGTGGCTCATGCCTGTAATCTCAGCTCTTTGGGAAGCTGAGGCGGTAGGATTGCTTGAGCCCAGGAGTTCAAGATCAGCCTGGTCAACATGGCAAGACCCTGATTCTACAAAAAGAAAAAAATAGCTGGGTGCAGTGGTTCACGCCTCTAATCCCAACACTTTGGGAGGCTGAAACGGGCGGATCACCTGAGGAGCTCAAGACCAGCCTGACCAACATGGAGAAACCCAGTCTCTAGTAAAAACACAAAAAAATTAGCCAGGTGTGGTAGCACATGCCTGTACGCCCAGCTACTTGAGAGGCTGAGGCAGGAGAATCCCTTGAACCTGGAAGGCAGAGGTTGTAATGAGCCAAGATCTCACTCTGTACTCCAGCCTGGGTGACAGAGCAGAACTCTGTCTCAAAAATAATAATAATAAATAAAAGAAAAAAATAAAATTTATCCAGGCACAGCTACTTAGGAGGCTGTGGTGGGAGGATCCCTTAAGCCCAGAAGTTTGAGGCTGCAGTGAGCTGCAATCATGCCACTGCACTCCAGCCTGGGCAGCACAGCAAGACTCTCTAAAACAATTTTTAAAAAGGCCGGGTGTGGTGGCTCACGCCTGTAATCCCAGCACTTTGGGAGGCCAAGGTAGGTGGATCACCTGAGGTCAGGAGTTTGAGACCAGCCTGGCCAACATAGTGAAACCCCATCTCTACTAAAAATACAAAAATTAGCCAGGTGTGGTGGTGGGCATCTGTAATCCCAGCGACTTGGATGGCTGAACCCAGCAGGTGAAGGTTGCAGTGAGCCAAGACTGTACATTGCACTGCAGTCTGGCCAACAAAAGCGAAACTCCAACAAATAAAAATACTTTTTTTTTTTCTAGCAACATCTAGACTGGTGTTTGACAGAATAACTGGGCACCGCGGTCCGGCCGAATCAATACGTAAAAAATTAACCAACACAAGAACCTAATAGTACCCGACACACAGTGAGCATGCAGTCAATAGCTGAAGTGTTGAGAACTAAATGACCCCGGTAAACACTCAATACATATATATTTTTTAAAAGATAAGTCTGGAAGCCAGTACTCATTGCTTCAGGGCCAGGCATGGTGATTCATGCCTGTAATCCCAGCACTCCGGGAGGTCGAGGCGGGTGGATCATGAGGTCAGGAGTTCAAGAACAGCCTGACAAATGTGGTGAAACCCTGTATCTACTAAAAGTACGAAAATTAGCCGGGCCTGGTGGCACCTGTAGTCCCAGGTACTTGGGAGGCTGAGGCAGGAGAATCGCTTGAGTCTGGGAGGCAGAGGTTGCAGTGAGCACCACTGCCCTCCAGCCTAAGCGACAGAGTGAGATTCCGTCTCAAAAAAAAAAAAAAAAAGACATTGCTTCAATGAATAACAAAAGCTAGAATCAGTCTCCTTGCACAGTAGAGAAGCCCAAATCTTAGTCTCAAACAGAAGCCCCATTGCCCTATTTTGTTTTCACTTAACCCAAGAAACCACAGGAAAGAACACCTTTCATGTGTGAGCGCCCTAGGTACTCGGTGCCCAGTTGCAGATGAGATTGGAAGTGTGGGCTGAGGGTGGTGTCTCACGCCTGTAATCCCGGCACTTTGGGAGGCAGAGGCAGGTAGATCACCTGAGGTCAGGAGTTTGAGGCCAGTGTGGCCAACGTGGTGAAACCTCGACTCTACTAAAAATACCAAAATTAGCCGAATGTGGTGGTGAGCACCTGTAGTCCCAATTACTCGGGAGGCTGAGGCAGGATTGCCTGAACCCTCTACCTCTGGAGGTAGAGGTTGCAGTGAGCTGAATCGCACCACTGCACTTCAGCCTGGGCGACAGAGTGAGACTCCATCTCAAAAAAACAAACAAACCAACCAACCCGCAAGAGTGATCAGAAGTGTGTAATTATTCAGCAGTGTCTTCCAGCCCATCCTGGGCTGGGCCCGGGCTGAGGTTGAGTTGGGCAAGACAGGGCCCATCCTGTGGGAGCTCCGGGTCTGAGGAGGACCCAGCTGTCCACTGAGTACAGTGTAGTCCGGGCAGCCCACAGGTTACGGAGGCTTCCCAGGGAGGTGCCCCTGGGTCATGCCTCTGGGTGGACGTCACCAGGCAGACAGGAGGGAGAGGAGCCTTGTTATTCTCAGTGGAGACCCGTGTTGGTTCTTAGGAGGTGGGAGGGATGCTCACTGAGGAGCGGGCCCGCTTTCTGTGCTGGGTTTGGGGATGATTGTGCGGATGTAACATTCACCTTGCCCCTCACCAGTCAGAAGCATGGAATTGCTGAAAAGCACAGAGCTTGGCATGGGGTTGGGGAGTGTCAGTCTCCTGCGGCTGCTGTAGTGAAGAGCTGCAAACTGGGTGGCTCAGAGCAGCAGACAGGTACTCACAGCTTTGAGGGCCAGGAATCCCATCCAAGGTGTCAGCAGGGCCAGCGCCCTCCAAGCCTCAGGGGCGGGTCCTTCCTGCCTCTTCCAATGCCTGGTGGTGCCCGGAGCTCCCTGAAGTCCCTTGGTTCGAAGCTGCGCCACTCTGCCTTGGTCTTTGCCTGCCGCCCTCCCTCTGCATCTGTGTCTTCACACGGCCGTCTTATATGGACACCAGTCATTGCATTAGAGCCCACCCTAATCCCGTGTGACCTCCTGTAAACTTGACTACCTCTCCAAGGACTGTATTTCCATAAAAGGTCACATTCCCAGTACTGGGCATTAGGACCTCAGTGTACCTTTGGAGGGACACAATTCAGCCTGCTACCCATCCATTTTTTACTCTGAGATCTTTTTTTCTGTTTTTAGCTATGTGAAAGGCATCTACTCTTTTGGCTTGATGGAAACCAACTTCTACGATCAGGCAAAAAAACTCGCCAGAGAGGTAAGTGGGCCCTTCCCACGGTGCCTGATCCTCGGGAGCAGCTGTCAGGTGGACCAGGGCATGTGAGGGGCACCATTCATGTGTGACCCCGTGAGCCCCACTCTGGCCTCACTTCCTCAGAGAGACTGGGGAGCTTGTGTTAGTGTGAGCCGCTGCCGCCTGCCAGGGGCTGTCATTCACCTGTGGCCCCCGGGGTCCCCAGAGCCACGTTCCTTGTCTGACACTGGTTCCACTTCTACAGATGAGACTGATGGGGTGCGGGGAGCCCATGGTCAGCCCACTTACTTGGGGTTGCACAGAGTGGCAGCTCCGGGCTCACAGCAGCTCTGCCTGGCTCTGAGCCCCTTCTGCCCTGCAGGTGTAGGACTGTGGGAGGAGAGGCATGAATCCACGCTGGCCCTTCCTTCCTGAACTTCGCCATTTCTAAGCATCACTCACGGCACTAGAGGTTCAGGGAGCTGAGTGGTGATTGCCAATCATGGTGATTGCTGGGCATCCGTGCAAACCTGGGCCCAGGGCCAGGTGGCAGCCTGCAGCTGGCTGGCAGGCATGGGGTGCAGGTGGTCTCATGCTCTGGGGGTCCCCCTCCTCTACTCCTCTTGCAGAAGTGGAAACTGAGGCCCATGGAGGGGCTGCCATGCACAGGGGAGTGCCAGCTGCTCCTGTGCTGGGCTCTGCATCCACACAGCTCTGCCCACATAATGTTAAACTCTTTGTTGCCCAGATGAGGGGCCCGAGGCTCAGAGAAAGGCTAAGGCTAGAGCCCGCCCAAGGCCAGATGCCTCAGAGATGGCAGAGCTGAATTCCACCCAGGTCACCCGATGACAGCTGTCCTTTCAGCTGCCTGGCCCAGGCGCCGGCCTCCCAACGTCCTGGCTGGGCTTCTTCCCCCAGTAGTTGCCCTAGTCAGCTTGCAGTACCATACCCAGGAGATAGCACTCTTTGGGGCCCATGGGTCGCTGGGCTCTCTGAAGACTGCTCTGAGTACACAATCCAAGACTTGAGGCTCGGGTGATGCATTCTTTGCTTTAACTCTGGTCGAGGCTTGTGGGGACCTGAGTCGCTTTCTGGCCGTCGTGGCTCCATGGCCTGGATGACCGGATGCCACCATTCAGGGATCAGCTGCAGGAACGTTCCTTGGAGAACATGGCAGCTGGGCCCTCCCGTGGGTGGCGTCCATCTGGGCACCTTGGAGCTCAAGGGACAGTTGGAGAAGCTCTGGACAAGTGCAGCTGTGGCAAACCAGATGTGGCAGGCCCCCCCACTGAGGGCAGCCAACAATACATGCAAGCTCAAGCCTTGCAAGGAGCAAGAAGTGGTGGTTGGGGTCCCCGCCCTGCTCCATGGCCCCGCTCTCGCCCCCCGTCCTTTGTCTGGCAGGTGCCAACTCTTCGACTCCACCCCCAGCACCCCACAGACAAGTACTGGGCAGGAAAAGCGGCTACGACGGGGCCAGGGGTGGGAACACATGAGCCATGTGTCTGTAGCCTCAGGCTGGTGAGGGTAGGAGGAGCCGGGGCAGGAGCAGGCAGGCGGTGGGCACAGGCACAGCCATGGAGCTTGGGGTCCTGGAGCTCCAAGCGGCTCGATGGGTGGAGGCTTAGGGAGGAAGCCGCAGGCCAGGAGCCAGGGCTGTAGAGGGGCAGGCGAGGACTGGATTGTGCTGGGCCTTCAGCCTGGGAATGCAGTTTGGACTCTTTCCCAGGGAACCGTGGGAGGGGTCCAGGAGAGGGAGGAAGCTGGTCAGCCCATCAGAGCTGGTGACAGCCACCACCCTTCACTTCCGCCATTCATGAAAGCAGCACGCTTAGCAGGGTCCCATCTCAGAGCCCCACCCCCAGCCTGCTTAGACTGTGCCCAAGTGTCCTGTACTCAGGGCCCTGCCCCGGGGTGCCCACGGTCCCCTGCAGACATGCTTTCTTCCCGTCTGTGTTCCCACATGGAGTGGGCCGGGCCCAGGAAAGCTGAGTGTCGGGCAGAGCAGCAGGGCTTGCTGGGGCCCACCTCCTGCCAAAAGCCTCGCAGCAGGTGCTGGGCCAGGGCAGGGGAGCTTGAGGCTTCTGGACACCTGTGAGAGGCGTGGGGAGACTGAGGCAGTGGGCTGGCGGGAACTCATGATTTGGCATGGGGGACCTGGGCACAGGCCAGGCAATGGGACCTCTGTGAGCCTCAGTTTACTGCTCCATTTTCTTTTTTTTCTTTTTCTTTTTTTTTTTTTTGAGACAAAGTTTTGCTCTTGTCACCCAGGCTGGAATGCAATGGCATGATCTTGGCTCACTGCAACCTCCACCTCCCAAGTTCAAGTGATTCTCCTGCCTCAGCCTTCCAGGTAGCTGGGATTATAGGCACCTGCCACCACGCCTGGCTAATTTTTGTATTTTTACAAAATACAAAAATTATTATTTTTTTTTTTTTTTTATTTTCAGATGGGGTTTCACCATTTTGGCCAGGCTGGTCTTGAACTCCTGACCTCAGGTAATCCACCCGCCTCGGCCTCCTGAAGTACTGGGATTACAGGCGTGAGCCTACTCCCCCATTTTCTAAGCTCCACCTGGGGCTTAGTAGATGCTTAGCAAACATGAGATAGACACATAAATAGAAGAAAGAACAGCTAGGAGGGGAGGATCATTCCATGAGTCCTGCGTGCCTCGCTGGTTACTGTCAAGCTCACAGGTCGTGGGAGTGGCTTTTGTCACGAACTGCGATAACCTCAGAGCCAGCTGTTTCTGCACCCAGAAAGCCACATGTCCTCACGTGTGGTAGTGGGAGGAGGCAGCCACGGCTGCTGGAGCACTTGATAGTTCACACCGCATTCGCAGGGACAGTACCGCTTCTCTAAGAGGAAGGCGGCATCCATGGCCTTTCTGGCAGTAACTGAGGCCCAGAGAGGGCGGGCATGTTTGCAGGTGCCTCAGCTGTACGCAGAAGGCTGCGGGCTTAGGGATGAACCGTGGCTTTGGAAAGACCCTGTCGCTGTCCAGTTGGGTGACCCCAGGCAAGTCGCTTAGTCTCAGCTTCCTCATCTGTGAACCAGGCAGTGAGACCCGTGAGCTGGTGTGCCTAAGCAGGCGGGAAGTGGTGCTGATGGTCAGTGTCTTGAGTCAGAGCCCTGTCCCCACACTTGCTCCACCCTGTTCAGCCCAGGCCCCTCTTGCCCCTTAGAGACCTGTGGCTGCCTGGCCCGGCAGCCTGCTGATCCACGTTATCTGGAATCCTCTTCCCTGCACCCGCACAGGCTTTATCTATGAACCCGACGGACGCGTGGTCGGTGCACACCATAGCTCACATCCACGAGATGAAAGCAGAGATCAAGGATGGGCTGGAATTCATGCAGCACTCAGAGGCCCAGTGGAAGGTACGACGCTTGTCGCTGGGTCTGTTACCTCCCTGGGAAATTCAATGCGCTCCCTTGAGTTAGGCTGAGGCTTTAGGAACAGGAGGAGTTACAGGGCGTGGCTTAATTCTTGGGGTTCCTTCTCCCCCTCCTCTTGCACCTGCCCCAAGTGTTTGGCTGCTGAGCAGAGTGCAGTCAAGATTCTAGTCCACACCCCAGGCCTATACCTTGCCCTAGGGACCCCACCGAGGCTGCTTTGTATTTGGGGTCACCCTGCTTTGTATCAGGGGAGGGTGTGCACTTGACTCCCAAGCAGGGGCTGTGCAGTCTGAGCTGTGCTGGGGGGGACCCTCGGGCCTCCAGATTTGGCCCTGTCAAGGGGGGAGCTGTCAGGTTCTCTCCTCAGGGACAGTGAGGTTTGTTTGAGGTTCCTGAGTGCTGGGCGCTGTCACTTGCCGAGGGTCATGAGTCCAGTTTCCTGAGCTTGGAATATCCTAGCAGGGGCCAGCTCCGAGCACAGCACAGGTCCTACTGTAACACCGCTTCCTTCATACTGAGGGCAGCCTAAGGTAGCCACCAGCATACCACCTGCTCCCCTGGCTCTTGGGGCTTTGCCAGCACGTGCTGGAGTGTGGTCCGGGGCCCG